AGAGGAAGAGGAAGGAGGGGGAGGGCGGATGAAGGAAGGGATGGAGACGGAAGCGAGAGAGGAACGGGAGGGAGAGAGGGGAGGAGAAACGGAGCAAAGGGCTCGTTATTCCAACAGTCCCGATATCCCAACATTCCCCACATCCCCTGATATATCCCATATATCCCAATATCCCATATATCCCACAATATATCCCGGTGTATCCCGAGGCTCCCTCACCCCTCTGGCACTCGGATTCCCCGGGCAGCACCCCCTGGTACACGTGGTGGGGCAGCGTTTATCCCATACATCCCATATATCCCATATCCCAATATCCCATATATCCCGTGATATATCCCATATATCCCGTGTATCCCGGTGTATCCCGGTGTATCCCGGTGTATCCCGATGTTCCCTCACCCCTGTGGCACTCGGCCTCCCCGGGCAGCACCCCCTGGTACACGTGGTGGGGCAGTGTTTATCCCATATATCCCATATATCCCAATATCCCATATATCCCGTATATCCCGTGATATATCCCATATATCCCATATATCCCGGTGTATCCCAGTGTATCCCGAGGTTCCCTCACCCCTGTGGCACTCAGCCTCCCCGGGCAGCACCCCCTGGTACACGTGGTAGGGCAGGGTTTATCCCATACATCCCATATATCCCATATATCCCGTATATCCCATATATTCCATATATCCCGTGATATATCCCATATATCCCGGTGTATCCCGGTGTATCCCGGTGTATCCCGGTGTTCCCTCACCCCTGTGGCACTCGGCCTCCCCGGGCAGCACCCCCTGGTACACGTGGTAGGGCAGGAGCCTCCTGAGGGCGTCGCCCACGGAGCGGAACGGCGTCCGGAATTCCGGGTGCAGCACCGAGCCCTGGTGCTTGTGCAGCTGCTCCAGGAGGCTGGGGGGGGAAATTCCGGGAATTATTCCACATTTGGGGAATTCCGGGAATTCCGGGATTTGGGAATTCAGAGAGTTTGGGAATTCTGGGATTGTGGGATTTGGGAATTCTGGGAGTTTGTGATCAGGAATTCTGGAAATTCCGGGATTTGGGGAATTCCGGGAGTTTGGGATCAGGATTTCCGGGATTTTGGGACTGGGGATTTTGGGATTTTTAGGATTGGGAATTCCGGGATTTTGGGATCAGAGAGGAATTCTGGGATTTTGGGATCAGGAATTCTGGGATTTTGGGGATGGAGAATTCCACGATTTTGGGGATGGGGAATTCCAGGATTTTGGGACTGGGGATTCTGGGATTTTGGGGATGGGAAATTCCAGGGTTTTGGGATCAGGGAGGAATATGGTGGACTTGGGTCAGGGAGGAATTCTGGGATTTTGGAATTGGGAATTCCAGGATTTGGGGGACGGTGAATTCTGGGATTTTGGGATCAGGGAATTCTGGGATTTTGGGATCAGCACAAACAGGGACAGGATTCCCCACCCCAGAGGGAATTCCCAGCGTTCCCAGTGCTCCCAGTTCCTTACCAGGCCTCCTTACTGGGCTGCAGCACCGGCGCCTTCTTCAGCGCCAGCTTCGCCTCCAGCTGCGGAAAAACCCCCGGGTGTGGGGTCAGTTCCTGGGATTTGGGGAAATTCCCGGGATTTGGGGGTCAATTCCCAGAGTTTGGGGAGAATTCCGGGGATTTTGGGACTCACCAAGGGCGGGGCCTTCCCTCCCCCCGAGGGCTGGGGGGGGCCCTTGATCCCACCCGGCTTCACCTGCGGAAAAACGGGAAAAGAATTGGGAAAAAAATCGGGAAAAAAATCGGGAAAAAATCGGGAAAAGCGGGGGGGAAAGAAAAGGGAGAAAAATTGGGAAAATCCAGGAAATTCCCAGGGCTGGGAAAGGGGGGAGGGAACCCAAAGGGGAAAACCAAGGGGAAAAACTGGGAAATAAAAGTGGGAAAATTGAGAAAATTGGCAAAAGAAACGGTGAAATTACCAGGGAAAAGTGGGAAAAATGAGGAAAAAAGGGGGGAAAAAGTGGGAAAAATGAAGTGGGAAAATTGAGAAAATTGGCAAAAGAAACGGTGAAATTACCAGGGAAAAGTGGGAAAAATGAGGAAAAGTGGGAAATCTGGAATTAAAGGGGTAGAAATGGAATTAAAGTGGGAAAAGGGGAATTAAAAGGGGAAAACCTGGGAAATAAAGGGGAAAAAAAAAGGGAAAATCCTGGAAATAAATTGGGAATAAATCAGGAAATAAATTGGGAAATAAATAAATGAGGAAATGAATTGGGAAATAAATGAATGAGGAAATGAATTGGGAAATAAATGAATGAGGAAATGAATTGGGAAATAAATGAATTGGGAAATGAATTGGGAAATAAATGAATGAGGAAATGAATTGGGAAATGAATTGGGAAATGAATTGGGAAATAAACAAATGAGGAAATGAATTGGGAAATGAATTGGGAAATAAATCAGGAAAAAGCGCTCACCTGTCCGGGCTGCTGGGGGGGGAGGGGAGCCCCCAATTTCCCGGGATTTGGGGCCCCTTTCCCGGCGGGAACGGAACCGGAACCGGAAATGGAACTGGGAACGGATCCCGGAACGGATCCAGAACCGGAAATGGAACCGGAACTGGAACCGGAACCCGGAACGCTGGAGAACGGCTTGGAGTCGGGCGGGGCAGAAACGGCACCTGAGGGAGACGGGAAAAAACTGGGAATGGGAAACTGGGAATGGGAATGGGAAACTGGGAATGGGAAACTGGGAATGGGAAACCGGGAATGGGAATGGGAAACTGGGAATGGAAAACTGGGAAACTGGGAATGGGAAACTGGGAATGGGAATGGGAAACTGGGAATGGGAAACCGGGAATGGGAAACTGGGAATGGGAAGCTGGGAATGGGAAACTGGGAATGGGAATGGGAAACTGGGAATGGGAAATTGGGAATGGGAATTCCAAAATTTGGGGATTTTGGGAACTGGGGATTTCAGGATTTTGGAATTTAGGGATTTTTGGATTCGGGGATTTCAGGATTTTGGGATTTGGGGATTTTTGGATTCGGGGATTTTGGGATTTGGGGATTTTTGGATTCAGGGATTTCAGGGATTTCAGGGACTCAGAATTTGGGGATTTGGGGATCCCAGACCCACCTGAGGCCGGGGCGGTGCCGGTTCCGGTTCCCAGGGCCGGGCCGGGCGTCCCCGGAGCCGCCGGGACCAGGACGGGAGCGGCCGGAGCCGGGAACGGGGCCGGGCTGGACGGGGGCGGCTTCGGCTGCAGGAGCAGCCCCTGGGGCACCTGGAAAACCCCAAAACAAACCTGTCAGGACAGGATGGGACACCCCAAAAACATCCCACGGA